ACACAGTCTGGTTCTGGTTCTGGTTCCAGGTCTGAGTTGTTGCTGTCAGTTCGACTCAGGTGATGAAATAAAGGTGATGTGACAGTTTTAGCAGCAAACCTCGTTTCTGTGGCTGTAAATCGAGTTGCTGCAGAGAAATCAGTTTGTTTCTTGTTGTGAACCTCTGCAGCCCGTCAGGAGCAGATCAGTCGGTCTGACTGGAAACTAGACGTTTGTGCAACAACAGATCCACGGGCCATGTCAGACTGGAACCACGTTTAGTTCTGTTGATGTTCAAACCCCAAACTAACCCTCAGAGTAACAGCCTGCTGTTGAGTGAAGCTGGAGCTGAATGATGAAGTCTAACGTCGACCTGCAGCCGGAGCTGAAAGTCGAACACCTTCTAGTTTCAAAGCTTCTGCCGGTTCTGGTTCTGGTCATTCGCAGGTTCTGAAGCTGCTGAACCACAGAATGAGCAGACGTTGTGGAGGTTTTAGAAGCAGCAGAGCTTCAGTAAACTGATGCAGAAACACCTCCCAGATCCGTAGAATCTATTATTTGCTCATAGGTGAAAGTTGAAGCTCCACAAAACCTCAGATGATAATCAGAGGAATGAAAACGCTGTCAGTGGTTTGATGAGCAGGACGGAGCTGGACTGATCCATCAGCTACAACTACACACAATAAAAAAATACATACAGCGCCCCCCATAATTATTGGCACCCCTGGTTAAGATGTGTTCTTTAGCTTCTAGTAAATTCCTTTTTTTTCTAAATAATATAGGACCACAATGAAAAGCAGCAGATGAACGAGAGACTCAAGAGTTTAACTGCAAACTGATTTTAATGGATTTGTACATCTGATGGTTTGTGACCAGAAACAGGATTTCAGACGTTCCAGCCTCTGAGCCGGACCGTATTTTACACCTGAAGCTCCTCGTCGGGCTTCAACCTGAGCAACACTTCTATAAAAACCTTCATGTGCTGCCAGAACCAGCTGCTGTGCGTTTCAAACCCTCCCAGTGGCTGGAAAACATCCTGACTGGTCTCAAACTTTGCATCTTTGCAAAGAACAACGAAGCAGAATCAGTCGGACGAACCTCGTTTTCGGCTGAAACACGATTCTGTCGGGATTTTTTTTTTGTTCTTCATTTGAGGAAGACGTGATGTTGAATTGTCTGAGTTTTGGTAGCTCCAGAGGCTGCAACCACACAGAATTTTAGGAGCGTTTAGGTCCGTTTGACCAAATAAAAAGGACTGAAATCACAGGAAGCTTCACCTGCAGAGGTTTGGCTGCTGAGTTGTAGAAAATACAACAGCAGCAACACCAGAGGGTTCCTTCACTGCAGGAAAGCTGCCGGCAAAAACAGCCTGTTTTCATTTTTTACAGCAGTAGAGACAGACAGGAGACCTGCAGCAAAGGGTCGTGAGCGGGAGTCGAACCCACGACCACCATAGCCCTGTTCATGGGTCGCCTGCCCAGCCAGGGCAGCTGTAGGGGGCGCCCTTCAGTTTCTATATCGACCAGACCTTTGATGGTCCAGAAAAAAGGCTGCAGGAGCAAAGAATCTTGTAAAAACTAAACCTGAAAGTAAAAAAAACGTGTTTCTGCGTTATTGTTTCTGCTCATTCAGACTAAAATCCAGCTGTGGAGTTTTCAAAAGTCTCATTTAAGGTCCAGAAACTCCAGAACGTAGATACAGCAGAGAGACAGTGAAGCCAGACGGGTGTGTGTGGATGGATATCAACACATCTGTACTGAATCAGCTAGCTTTACTATCAGAGGTGTTCTCAGGAGAACCCGTGGAGACGCGCCACAGCTCTGAATCACAGCTCTCAGAGCGACAGAATTCAGACGATGTCGTGTTTTTTGTTTCCTGCAGAAACTGGATCGAGTTTCATTTTAAAGCCTCCAACGACAGAAACATATAAAACATATAAACAAGAGCAAAAACCAGCATCAGATAAATAAGATGTTGTTCCACCGAAGGCATTAAAAGAGATTTTCATGTAAAAATTGTGTTAATTATTCACAGGATGAGACCCGAGACAGCTTCAGCTCCACCGGTTCGGCTTCGAGTCACCGTGGAGACGCTTCACTTCTTCTTCGGATGCTGTTGAAGACAAAACATGAAGTCAGTCCTCGGATGGACACGAAGCTGAAGAAGATTAAAAGTTTATCAGACGGCCTTCAGACACCCAAAAAACTCTGAGAAGTTCATATTTTGACTGTTAAACTGCAGTTTTTAAACTTTTTATTGGTCTTACAACTTTTTGTGAAGCTGCATATAATATAAACATAAAATCTGTAAAAAATCTACTAAATTTACATATCATCTGCAAAAAAAAGGAAAAGAACAACCAAAACTATAAAAAAATAAAATAAAATCATCAAAAATCTGTATTTTTATAAATTTTATTTTATTTTTTTTCAATGTTTGACCACCAAATGACATTTTTATTTTTATTATTAAAAATAAAACAATTAAAAAGCTTTTAAATGTAATTTCTTCTTTAATAATTTATTGTTATTTTACAGATTTTTCGATGTTCTATTAAACCGCTAATTAGAAAAATCACTGAAAAAAAATCCATTATTTTACTTAATTGTAAAAAAAAAAAAAAAAAAGGTCAAAACTATAAATAAAGTTCACTTTATTTTTAGAAATAGTAATTTGCTTTGACTGTAAAATGAACCAGATTTTAATGCATTCAAATCAGCAGAAGTCGGTACTTTAGAATTATTCGTCCTTATTGAAAAGACAAATTATTTACATTCAGGACTAAAAATAACTTTTTAAAAACTGTTTTGCTTTTTATTTAAATCAGCTAAAAGTATCCCAGGTCTACAGATGTTTGTATTCAGTATTCCACCATATTTAACTTGTGTTTGTTGCAGCCTTCCCGTCAGATTTCACTTTTAGCAGCGGTTCGACCTGTCAGAGCTCCAGCTGACTAACCAGCCGCTCAGTAAACCAACCCTCAGCTGAGGACACCTGACCGGACATTTAGCCGCCTGGACTGACCCGACCCGCCGTCGCATCCTATTAGAGCCTCCACCAATCAGATGGCAGCACAGACGCTCGTTAGGCACATTCGTCTCCATTTAATTTCCATTTGCTGCAGCTGGGACTCGGGGACGCTTCCTGCAGGACGCGGCTGAACGGAGAGGCTCGGGGAGATTCAGTGGGTGGGAATTAGTGGTGAATCATCCAGAACCGGCACACGGAGCTCCGTTAATTCACTCCTAATGCGACAGAACCTCAACTAACTGGAGCCAAATGGGTTCTAAACGAGCCGCCGCTTCCTGGAGGTCATAAAAACACACATGGACTCAGGATTCCAGCACAGCGGAGGATCGAACCTGAGCCGGGATGGAACCTCAGAAGTCTGGTCGGATGGGGTCTGAGAGCGGCTCAGAGGGTTCTGGGAAACTGGGCCGGGTTCCTGACGAACCAGCTGTTAAATACTTTGAATGTTTTCCGCAGAGAAAAAGGAGCGAGAGCTGATACATGAGTGTTTAACTGACGGCTGGTTTCAGTGAAGCTGTTCTTTAGTCGTGTTGACATCAAAGAATGTGGTTCCAGGGCCTTGAAGTCCACAGAGGAGGGTCCACATTTATCACTTTAATGGACTTTTTCCATCATTTCTGAGCCTCAGAACTTCATCAGTACAGCAGATAGACACAGGACATTTAGGAGGAGGAACACATCTGAGTTCTGGTAGAAACTGACACCAGATCAGTTCTACATCCATCCAGGTGTCACAGTCTTAACATTGGATCTGGTTTCTGTTCATGCGTGACTTTAATCTATAATTTTTGAATCAATCTGACACATTTTAAATCATTTTAAAGCCTTAGTGGACGATTCTTGAGTCACGTTGGACAGATTTTATGTAATTTTGGGGATTTTTTGAGCTACTAAACAAACTTCATGTCGTCTTGAAGAAAGTTTTGGAGAATTCTTGCATCATTTTTGAAGATATTTAACTAATTTTGAAGTCATTACGGACATTTTCAAACCGTTTTGCTCGATGTTCTGTCCAGTTATTGAGTAATGGTGGACTGCAGTTTGTCAGTTTGGCAAATTTTGAAAAATACTGAACAATTTTGAATCATTTTCTTAATTTTTTTCCATCATCATTTGGACTTTTTGGACAGAAACGGGTCTGATGTCCTCTGTTCATTCACCAGAGAAAACTTTACAAAGTGCATTCTGGGTAAACTTTCCAGGCTCATATCAGCATGTGTGATGGTGGTTGGTCAGAACAAGTTCTAGACGATGGAAGGACCGTTTTACCTCCAGAACAAATTGGGTCTTTTTGGACAATTTCTCAGTGATCTTTGAGTTATTTTTGTCTAATTTTGAATCATCATTGGACACATTTCTGGCTACTTTTAGTGTAACTTTGGAAAACTTTTTAAGTACTTTTGGACACTTTTTAGCCATTTTCCACCATTTCTCAGTCACGTGGGGCAGGTGGTTGATCAGAACAAGTTGCTGCAAATGAAAGGTTCCATTTTGAGAATTTTTTTTGGATAAATTTGAGTTTTGTGTTGTGTCTTTTTTTTTTAATGTCATTTTTTAACAATTTATGTGTGATGGTGGTTGGTCAGAACAAGTTCTAGACAATGGCAGGACCGTTTTACCTCCAGAACCTACCAGAACCATCTAGAGACAGGATTCATGTTCTACTACAGTCATGTTTTAACGCTGCTGAACGCATCCTGTGGCTGTGAAACGTAGAACAACTTTGGTGTTCACGTTTTATTGCTGTCAGTTTATTAAGGACACCAGGCTGGAATCAAACAGTAAATCCAACCTTCATGAAAGTTCAATTGTTGTGAATAAACTAAACAACGACTTAAACACTAAACCGTGTCCTGGTCTCTCACTGGGGGAGCAGACGGCATCTCCAGCCTCCCAGAACCTTTTAAAGTCCGATTTCAGCAGATAAGAAACCTCTGAGCGGCGCTGATACTCACAGCAGCAGACAGCGCCTGGTCCAGGTCCTCGATGATGTCGGCCTCGTCCTCCAGACCCACAGAGAGCCGGATCAGGGTGTCGCTGATGCCCAGAATCTTCCTCTCGTTCTCCGGCACCGACGCGTGGGTCATAATGGCCCTGAATGATGACAGACGAGCCGAGTACAGAAAAACATCCTGAGCTTTACTGGAGATTACGGCAGAGACTTCATAATGGAAATAAAGTGTCTCAATTAGAGCCGGTTAGCGGGAGGCGGGCTCCTCCTGATCTCTGCTGCCCCCTGCTGGTCACACAGGGTGACGTGCAGCTCTGCAGTAGATTACAAAAGGTCAACTCTGTGCTACTTATCTTTAATATTCTTCGCAAGAATACTTACGGATGTTCTGCTAAACTCTCATATCCTCCCAGACTCTCAGCTATCGCAAACATCTGAAATAAAAACAGAACACGAAGTGAAACAGTGCAGGACATTAATAATGTGCACACAAAAATAGAAGCTGCAAAAACATGATAAGTTACAGCCTCCAGAAACTTCTGCAGTAATCTTTGAACAACATGCGTCAAAGATGAGACCAGATTAAACCAATAAAACATCTTTTTTATAACAGAAAGTCTGTCAAAACAAAGATAACTGATGTGTTTATTCAGAAAATATCAGTTTATCATGCATCCTTTGACTCTAACTTGATGTCATTTGATCAGTTTTAGATTATCAACATGATCTTTGTTGCACCTTTTCTTATGTTCTAATAAATTCCTATAAAAAATAAGTCAAATTCTAACAGCAGTGTTCTTTTTTTTCTATTATGTAGTTTAAAAACTGTAAAATCTTAAAACTAAACTGAACAAAAAATGATCACAAAGCACCGTTTAGAGTCCTCACAAAAATCCAGCAGTTTATAATTTTACACCCTGAGACAGATTTTGTTTCTACATTCAATTACGTTTGCTTACTTTCCTAAAATAGGTTTAGGACCTTTGAATAAATGCCCCAAACCCATAAAAACATAACCAGTGAGATACGCTTTTATAAATACTAAACAGATGGTGAAGCTCAATTATGGATCACAAATAGTCACGTTGTCATTTAAGGCCTAAAATTAAAATTTAAAAACGCTGTAATCTACAGGCAGCTACAGTTAATGCTGATAAATATAATCTGGAGGTTTAGTGACAGCATTAAACAGTAAAACTTCATATTTTACTGTAGAACATGCAGTGAAATACAGTTTAACTGTGGTTGCAGGATTCTTACAGGAACATTTAACGTCGTGTGTGTGTGAAATATTCATTATTATTTCTTATCTGGACAAGAGTTCTTCAGTCTAAACATCTGAAACCTGAACTTCACTGCTCTGCTGTCGGCATTGAGCTGTTTTTGTTCTTATTGTTTGCTGTCAGCGCTGGAATCTGATCCGGTCTCTTTGTTTGATCACCGTCACAGAAACCACCCACTTATATTGGAAAAAAAAAAAACAGATTAGAGGAGGCTGGCTGCTGGATTACTTTGAGGTTGCTGAGGAAGGCGCTGGCGTGCTCCAGTTTGCCTTTAATGTAGAAGGTGATCATCCCTGGACAGCCGGTGCACTGCTTCTTCATCACGTCGTGCTGAGGGTGGGACGGCAGACCTGCAGCCAGAGGAGGACCACAAGAACCAGGTTGTTAAAGGAGGACACGTCCTGTAAGGCTGCACAGACCAGAGGAGCTGTTACATCCACAGAACACAAGTGCTGCATTCAAACAGCCAAAAAAAAAACGACCAAACTGTAAGTTAACGAACACACAGAGACGGATGAATGGACATCTGAGAGCTGGAAGCTGTTGTTCTATTAAGTAGAGAAGTCACAGTCAGTTCCAGCATCACCTTCAGGTGTTTTTCTAGCAAAAACACCTGACTGGAAACTGGAGGTGAGATTAATCCGTTTAGTTTAATGTTAACATGTTAGACTGAACATTTGAACCCTGGTTCGCAGATTCTGGTTCTGAAGGAAATGCCAGACGTAGAGGGAAAATGTTCTCTTCTGACTGCTTTTCAACATCGACTCATGGTCGACATGGTTTGGATGTTTTCACAAGAATATTCCAGAAAGACTCTTTCATGTCAAAGTGAAAACAGATTTCTATGAAGTCAAACAATTAAAAATATTAAATGTACAATAAGTGACTGCATCAGTGTTCTCCTCGTCCAGTCAGTGTTCAGTAGAAGAACCTTCAGCTCCATCATTGGTCCTGTTGGTCTCCATCAGTCTGAACATCTGGACGCTGCAGTTTCACCTCATTCTTCTGATAAAACTGTTCAGACTCTGTCAGGTTCCACAGGGATCATGAGTGAACAGAATTTTAAATCCAGACTCTAATTCTCAGTTGGATTGAAGTCATAGGAGTCTTGGTGGCCTCCCTCACCTCCCTCACTAGTCTCCTTCTTGCTCGGTCACTCAGTCTTTGAGGATGTCCTGCTCCAGTCAGATCTATTCATGTTCTATACTCCTTCCATTTCTTAATGATGGATTTAACTGGACTCCAGAGATGTTCAGTAACTTGGAAATGTTCTTGTATCGTCCTCTGACTGATGCTTCTCAACAACCTATCAGTTCTTGGAGTGTTCTTCAGTCTTCATGGTGTAGTTCTACCCAGCAGTACTGACCCACCAGTGACTGGACCTTCCAGATACACGAGTCTTTATGCTGCATTCACTCAGACTCATTCACTGACCTCAGATGATGCATTTACTGACTGTGGGACTTTTAGCACCAACTGGCTGCACCTGTGTTCAGTTAGGTGAGTCATTTTAAAGAGGTGAATACTTGTGCAATCACTTATTTTACATTTAACCCTAAATAATTGACACTAACGATGTGTCCAGCAGCATCTGTTCTTCCACACAGCATTGAACTAAACAGCCCCGGGGCTGGTGTGTAACAGCAGACGCATGTTACGACGTCAGCGGTGGAGGTGGTTTCAAAAGAACTGAGTAACCTGGGAAGATGACCCGCTCCACCCGGGGGTCGGCCTCCAGGAACTTAGCAGCAGCCATGCCGTTCTTGAAGTGGCGCTCCATCCGGAGGTGCAGCGTCTTCAGGCCTCGGTTCACCAGGAAGCAGTCGAAGGGAGACGGGACGCCTCCGAGCGCTGAAACCAGGCAACAGAACAACACAGAGCGGTCAAACAAAAGCCCCAACACGCAGCAAACAGAAGAGGTTTAAACGGGTTCAGAACTTTGGCCTCAGGAGCAGATTTGGTTCTTTAATGAGTGAATGTAGGTCAAATAACTGCTTCACCAAATACTGGCACAGAGACCAGTAAACAACAGAGACATACTGGGAACCAGTTTAAAGAGGCTGAAAGCTTCTAGAAAATTTCAAACACAAGATATTGATCTCCCTTCACATTGTGTTGACAGTTCCAGCAGCAGGTCTTTACTGTCTGATCAACCGTAACGTTCCCTCACCGTTCTGCAGAAACCTGAGTCGCTCGTTCAGATCTTCTCTGTTCATGGAGACCAGACCCATCACCACGTCGCTGTGTCCTGCAGAATAAATCACAGCGACAAAGAAAAGCACAAATTACGAGTAGCTGGAGCAGAAAATGGTTCATTTATACGTGTCTTCTCTCTGCTCTCTTTAGGGACAAAATCCGACAGGCTGAGCGTAAAATTAGACGACTGGGTTGTAGAATGTAGTCCTGTGGTTTAGATTTGATCTTTATGACATTATTCAGTAATATATGTTGGAATAAATGAGCCGTTACTCTGAGGTTATGGATAATTCTGTTTCATAGGCATGTCTTTCTAAGTCTTAAACATTTAAATATTAAATATAATAGTCGACCAAGATCTATGGATTATTACAAATGATCATGTTTTATACTTTAAAGTGCACTGTCTTTTTTAAAACCCGTCTGAAAACTCATTTTGATGCCCTGGCATGAGACTCCTGTTTTATTGTTTTTACTGTTCTTATTGTCCTTCAGTGATTTTATTATAATTTTATTGTATTTTGCATTTTAGATGTTTTAAATTGTTTTATAGTTTGTGGTCAGCACTTTGTTTCGACTTTTGTTGTGTTAAAGTGCTTTATAAATCAAGTTAAGAGTTGAGTCTTCCCATTGTTTAGCTTTAAACACGACTGAGTCCCATCAAAGAGGTCACAGTTTAATATTAAAGCCACTAGTTTGAAGTAAAACGGTGAAACGTGCATCACCTACCGTTCATGTATTTGGTGGCTGAGTACATGCAGATATCAGCTCCCAGAGCCAGGGGGCGCTGAGGACGAGCAAGACAAACACGAGTTAATCATCCCTCCGGTCATTTCCACATGAGCTGGAGCCTGATTGCAGGAAACCATCAAAGAATCAAGAGGCCGCGAAATGCGCATCTGTCGCTCTCACCTGGAAGTACGCCGACATGAAGGTGTTGTCGACCACCACCACGATGTTCTTGTCGTGCTCGTGCACCAGATCGGAGCAGGCCTTGATGTCCACCACCTTCATGGTGGGGTTGGTGGGCGTCTCGATCCAGAACAGCTGCAGGAAGCAAACAGTCGTTCAACCACAGCGTGACTCAGACACGAGGCCAACACTCCCTGCTGCTCCTCTAATGCTGCTCTTAGCACGAACTGCTGATTCACAGTGACTCCACAGAAAAAGGCGACACACCTGATTATACAACACGTTGGTAACGGACGTGTGTTGTGTTTATTGTGCAGCAGAAACAAAGTGACTTCAAACTACAATGGCAGCGCTTCCTTCGACTCACTTTAGTGTTGGGCTTCAGAGCCGCCTTGAGCAGCTCAGGTTTAGTACAATCAACAAAGGACACATCCAGACCATTGGTGGCTGCGATTCTTTGGAAGTAGCGGTTGGTGCCTGTAATTTAGAAAGTGAAACTCTGTCAGGAAGTGGGTACTCATGGTGTTGCTTCAGTTTGCATCCTTTCAAAAGCACATGCCTAGATTCTGTTCAGAGGTTACTTATTCTGTCAGATATTTGGGCTGGATTTTGAGAATTAAAGATGTTTTGAGACCTGAAAGTTTGTATTTTTACCCTCAAACAAACATCTTAGCTGTGAAGCCTTATTTAGGGTTCAGAATCTCCAGAAAAAAAACTCCCACAGACATGTAACTCAGACAGAACAGTTTCCATCAGATCAGAATGACTGAATGGATCCAACAGAGGACACATTTTAATTATTAGGTCTTGTTCAAAACCTCCAACCAGGCTGGTGTTGATCCACAAAGTTCCTGTCAGTGTCTATCTATGGATGGATCCATGGTTCTACTAAAGTCCAGTCTTTGGTCACATTTCACCAACTGTTGAGGCTCTAACATGAGTAGAACCTGATGTGGTAAATTTGGACAGACAAGGTTCCAGTTTTTAGACATTTTGACTTAAAACCAGTTTAAAATTGGCCAAAAATGTCCTGTTACTGTCTGAAATGACTTGAAATGTGTCTACAATGGCTCAAAATTCTACAAAATCATTTAAAATCAGTCCAGAAATGAGTCAAAAATGACTTGACATTGTTTTAAACTGCTCAAAATGTGCCCAGAATTACTCAGGATTTGTTCAAAGCGACTTAAAAAGTGTAACTGGTTCCTCAAAAAGTTCCTGTCAGTGCCTGTCTATGGGTGGATCCATGTTTCTACTAGAATCCAGTCTTTGGTCACATTTCACCAACTGTTGAGGCTCTAACATCAGTAGAACCTGATGTGGTGAAGTTGGACCAGACAAGGTTCCAGGTTTCACATGTTCAGACTAAATGTTGACGTGGATCATTGGTAGGAACCAGAACCTGGAGTTCACAGGTTCTAGATGCTGGTTCTGGATGAGCAGAGCTACAAGATGCTTCATGTGGACACTTAACAACATACAAGGCTGATTTTACTGAATGTTCCTGTACAGACACTGGAAAGTCATATTTCTGGAGATACTGAACCCCTAAACTGTCTTCCCAGGTGAGATGTTTGATGAGGGTGAAAATGCAAAAGCTACAGTCTGAAAACATGAAACTATCAAAATTCAGCCAGAACATGTTACATAACCGAACAAACAAGAATGACTGAAATCTGAGCTTGTGAAGCAACGCCACCATCTGTCACAGATCGATTTCACCGAGACATCCTGGTGTGAGGAAACATCTCACAGCTGCCTGAGTTCAAGTGTTTTACCTCCATAAACGTCGTCCATGCAGACGATTCCATCTCCTGCCTTCAGCATGTGAGTGATTGTGACTGTGGCTGCAAGTCCTGAGGCCAGAGCAAGAGCTGCAGGGTAAAAAAAAATCAAATGTCATCCTGTCAGAGGGACCGAAAACTGAAATATTTAGTTAAATATGTCGTCATCAGCGGCACTTACAGTACTTGGCTCCATCCAGAGCTGCCACGGCCTTCTCCAGGCAGTTCCTGGTCGGGTTTCCACTGCGGCTGTATTCAAACCCCTGAATGAAAACAGGATTTTTACAACATGTCAGTCACCAGAAATCAACATTTATATTCATACACAGTTCAAACAACAATCCTTTAAGAGACACAAACACACACAAGTCATTTTGAGGACTTTGGTCTCTTGCAGGAGAAAAAACTGTAAATAACTTCATGTCATGATGCTGCCACCACCGTGCTTCACATCATGTTTTAAGGCTTATTGTAACTGATTGTACGTTATAAAGCGGCAGATCACATAAGTTGATTCTTTTTTCTTCTTCCTTTTCATTCAGAAGTTGGAAACTTTTGTTTTGTATTGCATTGAATTGTTTTCTTTTTTGTCTTTTTTGTCAATGAATGAAATAAACTACAACTACCATGATGCTACCACCACCGTGCTTCACAGTGGGGATGGTGCATTTGTGATGATGTGCACCAAACATAGGGTCTAGATTGATGGACAAAAAGCTCCAAAGAACCTACTTTCTGCACTCCTTTTTAATCCTACTATTTCAGTTTTTAGATTTTAGTCATATGATCACAAACACACAAGTTTATTGGATGTTCTGCTCATAAAGCTGAACACTGAGAGACGACACCAGTGTCTCCTGACTTCACCCCGTGCTTCACTTCACTACTGCTGAATGAAACAAGCTTTTTCTTGTGTTTCTGGCTTTTATCAGTGCAGGGAATGCAGCCTGCACATCCTGCAGAGACACACGTGTTTTGTTTGCGGCTGCTGTTGGAACATTAGATAAAGCCGTCTGAACTTGCTGTTCTACAAATTCTAACAACATGTAATTAAATACAGGCAGGTTCAGACAAACAACCTGCAGAACGAAGGCTGCTGTCACCAACAATAAAGCAGCTTGTGTGCACAGTGTGTGTGAATGAGTTTATCTTCATATTGCTGTTATCTGTTTTCATACTACGACCTGCTGCCCTTCAACTGTATGACTCTGTTTGGTTTGTAATAAATCATTAACGGTTCAAAGACACGAACTGGATCCACCTTTGTGTGATGTAAGACTTTTTTTTTTTTTTACTACAACACGTCCAGTAAGGCAGGAAGCAGCCACAAGTACATCTGGTTTGACAAGTTGTTCAATGGTCTATATGCGAGAAGACAGAAGTCAGTGTTACGTAAGATAAAGTAGATAATGTGGCTTCCAATGACGTCATAATTCACTGACAATGTGACTAAATGTTCACTTAAATTGATTAAAAATGTAATAAAATGCAATAATTAAATTAAAAATGAATCAGATTATTACCACATTATCGTCATATCACATCAAGTATTTCTGATATCCTACAGAAATGGATCTTATTTAACTTTTAAAGACACAGAGACGATTTTACACGCTTTTATTTCCTCACGGCTGGATTACTGCAACAGCCTGTTGTACGTGTCTTAATCAGAAATCCCTGGACAAACTACAGACGGTGCAGAAGTCTGCTGTCAGGCTTCTAACCAGGAAGAGGAAACATGAGCACATCACGCCTGTTTCAGCTCTTTTACATTTGGCTGCCAGTCGGACTGATTTTCAGATTTTATTGATCACTTTTGAAGCACTCAGCGCTCTCTGTCCCATTTACATTGCTGACCTTTTAACACCATATTCTCCAGCACGCTCTTTATGATCCTCGGGCAAAGGTGTTTTAACTGTCCCAGAAGTCCAAGGCTCTGGAATGAGCTGCTCGAGGAAATCAGGTCGGCTGAGTCTGTGTTTTATAGCTTCCTGCTGTATTTGTGTGCTTTCTACTTGTATCAGTTATTCTTTGTGCTTACTGTATTTTAATTTTAAATTATTTTTAATTGGAAAGCACTTTGTAGCATTTGTTTTGAAAAGTGCTCTATAAATAAAGTTTATTATTATGATATGATGAAGAAAGTCATTTTCTTTTATTTTGATGGTCACAGACGCCTGATTCCACCCCCTGTGGTTCACTGTCCCCCCCTTCCGCTCATCTGATTAGCAACTGAACCGTATGTTAATTTACCTCTATTCACTTCTGTATTTACATACAGGCCTCCCCCTACCCTCTGGCTTACAGTATAAATGTGTGACTCTGCCGATGTTCAGCGTCGGTTCACCTTCACAGACTCATGCGCTGTGTTGGTGAGCCCACCTTATATACTAATAAACACCCACTAATGCAAACTTCACAGGAGGACTATGGGCAAAATTTCTTAATTATTTTTAAATCTGCTGGAACTGATGCAGACATTTTCCACCTAAAAAACTGAACCTGCAGAATGACGGTTTCTATATTATGTGATATTGCTGCAAAAATTGTCTTATATCACTGTTTACAGAAGATAAATTCACACTTGAGCCTTAATAATCAGGTGGAACAAACACTTGTGACTCGCGTACGATTAGTGAATATGTGGTTGTTAAATTACAGTCATTTTAACGACATGCTGCTGTATATTTAATAGATGTGCTGAGACGTGTAATTATAGAAGCTTAAATGCAGCGATGGTAAACATTTAGAGGATGTTCTGTGAACTATCTTGTTAGGAGACGTTCTGCATGTCGCAGAGTTCAAATCATGAGAGAGAGAAAGGTTACGCAGAGTTTAAGTTTTAACAAAACCTGCAAAAATGATCGTCATGTGGAGATGCAGCTCGTAACAGGAGGCGAGGATCACGTCATGATCGAGATTTAGGGATGCACTGAACTTAACTTTATTTATGCTTTAACAACAAGAAATACACAAACTCTGCTCCTCTTTCTGTCCTCAGGTGTGTTGTAATAATTCAGCATTTCACTGAGATTAATATTTAACCACAAATTATCCCGTAAACGCTCAAGTGTAACAGTGAAGGTGAAGGTTTAGGACAGATTCACCTGAACGCCTCCAAGAAACTTTACCTGGAAGTCTTGGTTTATATTGCACAACTTTTTACACTGTTTTACAATCATTACATGACCTCTAGTGTCAGTTTAAGCTGCCATAGTTACAGTTTTGTTGGGTTTTTTTGGCTGTTTTGACTTGAAACCTGCACAAAATGACTCACAATTGTCAAAAATAAGATTAAAAAATGACAATAACGGACAAATATTGGCCCTTGAAAATAGAAAAATGTGCAAAATGTAGTGGTATTGTGTCTCCAGAAACTTCCTGTAGGTGCATATATATATGGATTTATTGGTTTTATTGTAGTTTGGAGAGTGAAGATGAAAGTTGAGGAAGGATTCACCTGAACGGCTGCTTAGAGGCTTATCTCACCTGGAAGTCTTGGGTTTGCATTGCACAACTCTTTACACTGTTTTTACAATTATTATATGGCCTCTAATGTTAGTTTAACCTCCATTAGTTCCAGTTTTTTTGCTATTTTGACTTGAAACCTGCACAAAATGACTCACAATTGTCAAAAATAAGATTAAAAAATGACAATAACGGACAAATATTGGCCCTTGAAAATAGAAAAATGTGCAAAATTTAGTGGTATTGTGTCTCCAGAAACTTCCTGTAGGTGCATATATATATGGATTTATTGGTTTTATTGGAAATCTATAGTTTGGAGAGTGTAGATGAAAGTTGAGGAAGGATTCACTTGAACTTATCTCACCAGAAACTCTGGATCCTCACTTTCTAAACAGTCTTTTCTGTTCTTGCAATTAATAACTACTGGAGGGAAAAATGCAAAATGTTCAAATGTTTTTCAGTATTGATCTATATTTATTTGAGTGTATTACGTAAAGCAGGTTAATCAGCGAGTGAAGCAATTAACGGCACTGAGCACTTGTTTATTCCCTCATAAGATAATAAAAGTCCTTGAACACATCTATTTCCCAAAGAAGCGGTTTATCACAGAGCGGATAAGACGGAGCTTCTAGTCTTACACTCTTAAAACCGCAAAATATAGAAGTTTGGACTGAAAATGAAAAGAGTGACACCACTGAATCATCTGTTTGAAGGAGAACTCACCACCTGAAAGGCATTTCAAAGGAGTCAGGGGCTTTCGTTGCGTTACTTCTGTTTTTATGACATTTTAGATCAACTTAGGTGCACATTTTCCAACAATTACAGCTTTAATGTACATTATAGATGGCTACAGGTGCTCTGAGGATGTTGTGACGTTAAAGAAGAAGCGTCTGTGAGGAGCTCTGTGCGTTCGCTGGATTTGTTTCGATCGTGTACTTTAGTGAAGAATGTAGTTTTAGCTGCTGATGCATCTCCAGTGACCTCTGGGTGTCACAACATGTTCCGTCTGCTTCACGGCCGGACCTCAGCACTGTACAGGAACCCGGCAGACAATCATTGACAGAAACGAGTGTTGGGTAAATAAAAGTCGACTATACTATCAGAGAACGCGATAGTGAGCAGAAAAAAAAAACCTGCTGGAGACGTCTGATGGGAAGGTTTCAGTCTCACATGGCTGTTAGATCCTGCTGTTATTACAGTCATTGTTTTAACTGTAATATGTAAATTACTCAGCTAATATTAAACTATAAATGACACTGTCGGGTCAAGTGCTCCGTGTTTGAGCTCGTTAGGTTAATTAGTGACATAAATCTCATTTTTCTGCTGGACTCAGACCCTGAATTAAGTGCCAACAGGCTGTGATGATGTTCAACTTCCTCTGCTATAAAAGAGATAAAACCAAGACGTCAGGGTCAGATATAAAAAAAATGAAGTTAGATAGAACACAGGCAAACTGTACGAGGGTTTAAGCAAACAAAATCTGGATTTACTGCCCAATAAAGCTCCGATGATTCTGCCTTTAAAATCTGTTGTCATTAAACAATAATGTGAGATTCATTTTTGTCTTTGTGTGACTAAAATATTCCAGAAACCAACAACTGAGATGATTTACAGCCCAAATAATGAGTCTGTTTGCAAAAAACAAAACTGTCTGAAGCACAAATTATACATTTATTAAAGTTTGCTCATATTGGATCCAGAGATCTTTGGATTTGTTGGGTCTAGTTATTGAACTTTATCATTAATAACACTGCAAGACCTGGTATTTGTCATATTGTTGGATTTTATATCGTCTCTGTGAGGGTTTTAAAAGCTGAACCTGCTGCTTCATTAAGTTCTGATCCTTCCTTTAAACTCTGTTCTTATGAAACGTGACACATCTGTTTGGATAAAGTCTCACATTTTGTTTTATGTCTAAAATAATCCAAAACACATTTTAGTAAAATTCTCAACGGAAGCGTTTACAATCCATTTCCTCTGGTTTTCTTGTAAAATAAATATATCAATGTTGTATGAAAAGGCAAAATATGTATTAAACAAGCTTGTAAAGGTTTAGTAAAGGTTGTATTCATGTTATTTCATATTCATTGCTGCATGTAATAGTTCAGTTACTTCACACAGAACCTGCTGCTTCATAAAGTTCTGCCATTAAAATCTGTTCTTATAAAACATGACAGATATATTTGGATAAATAGAAATAAAAAATATAAATATATCATATTTTATTTCACGTCTAAAATAATCCAAAACATTTTTTTATTCATGCTTTTTCATATTTATTACTACATATAATAGTTCCGGGTTCTTCAGACAGAACCTGAACCTGCTGCTTCATAAAGTTCTGCCGGTTCCGCCTTTATTATACGGTTATTACAAAACAATACAGATGTCCATAATTACTTTTATTTCCATCCTCCGTCTGTCCGGACCGTTAAATTCACCGCCGGTCGGCTCCGTTAACGGCCCATTTCACCGGTTTTGTTCCACACACGTGCCCCCCCACCTCCCCTCCTACCGGCCTCCGGCACCGGAGGACCGTCGGTACTCACAGCGTGGTTCCCCGGGCCGTTCTGCTTGAAGGTGGTGGACAGGGAGATCGGCGGCACCACGGCCATGGACTTCCACTGCTCCGGCTCCTGGCCCACGTGGATCGCCTCCGTGGCGAAGGACTTGAAGGCGGTTCGGAAACCGGAGAACACGTCCTGCTGCTGGTCCATGTTTGCTGCTGCTGCTGCTGCTTCTGCTGCTGGAGGAGGAGAACCGGAGCCGACTGCGGCTCACCGGGGGGGGAGATGTTTAACGGGGCCCTGTGTGCTGCCGCTCAGCCAATCGGCGCTCATCAACAAGCAACCGGGTGCGCTGATTGGCTGAGAGGGAGGGGGCGTGTGACGCAGCACGTTGTTCTGAGAGCCATGATGCAACGTTTCCTGTAGTTTGAGTCAGGGAGGGGCTGTGGGGCAGGAAGCCAGAATAAACTGAACCAGACACCAACACACTGATCAGTGGGGCTCATTAGATTTATAGAGTTACAGATAGCTGTGTTTGTGATTAGTAACAGACCTTGAATCCGTGATTTATGAAGCAACAAAGTCTACATGTTATTAGTTCATTTATTTATACAGGTCACCTCTTAGACACACAAAGTCTCAAACAACACAACATGGAGTCACAGACAGACAACACTGTCCTCAAGAAACACAACAATCAAATATATCAGTGAGTTACAGACAGACAGGATCAACATAAAACATTAGACATTAAAAAAAAAATTCATAAAACAGGAAGTTAAAAACCAGCATTGAGTAAACTCTGATTCACACAGTCCTGGTTCTGCCTTTAAATGTGTCACTATGAAGACATTTAGGTGTGTATTCATAGTTTTAGTCATTTTTATTCAAACTGATTTCACCAAAAGCGACGTCCGCTCTGTTTAGCTGTCAGATTTCCATAAAATGTCGTGTTTTTTCTGTTTTATGCAGCAACAGATGAAGATATTTTGGGCAAACAAACACTGAATAAACACTGACTCAACCACTCCTGATTCTGCCTTTCAAACTTGTTATTATGAAGACATTTAGACATGTATTTACATGTTCAGTCATTATATTATAAACTTACTTCACAGGAAGTTCACTCTGTTTAACAATCAGATTTCCATCAACTCTTATTTATATGCTTTAAAAAAGAAATAAAGTCCAGTTAAATTACAGAGAAAGGTATTTCAAACTAACAAAAACTGATTGTAATCCTTTATATAGTCCTGATTCTGCCTTTAAAACGTGTTATTACAAAGACATGTAGACGTGTATTTACATGTTCAGTCATTATATTAGAAATCACTTCACAGGAAGTTCTCTCCTCTGAGCAGAACAGTCAGATTTCCATAACATGTCGTTTTTTAGTTTTATGCAGCAGTAAAGTCGTCTATTTCCAACATTATCTTTTCAGTTCCAGCGAAACACGTTGCTAATATAATATAAAACCATCTGCGCTGAACAAACTGTTTATGAAGTATGAAGAGCTGTAGTGCAGTTTTCTGCTAAAGTGAGCTTTTCTCATAGAAAAGATGGAAAAAAAACGAACCATTGTCACCATATTTTTTAATTCATAGATACAACAGCAGCATATGTAGAAATCAAACACTTCATACATTTCTGATTCTGTCTTTAAAGCTTCTTATTATATCACATAAACCATATTTTAGATGGTATTTTTTTCTTTTTTGACAAATTGTTTCTAAATCTAACAAATAAAAACTAACCACTTAATCATTTACAGCCCATTTTATCAGTATAAATAATATATTAAAAGCTATACCATCCCTAATCTATCCTTAAATCATGTAAATTAGAGTCTATAATTTGCAGATATAAACATAGATTTGAGACATTTCAACCACATACAGTCTTAACAACAGAAACAATGATGTAATATTAAATATAATCAGTAAATATCAGACCTGATTACACTATAAAATACTATTAAAGCTTTAAAATTCTGTTTATTTGCCCATTTTGACAGTTTGAGCCAGATAACAGCAGCTAAACTGGGTGATCACTTCTTTTATCTTCTTTTTTTTTTAAACTTTCTGTCTCATTTTATACCTCCTTTACCCCATAAAAAGTTACATCTGTTGAGTTTAACAGCCAGATTCCCCTAAATTGCAGTTTGTTTTAGTTTTATGACGCAGAAAAAGTCCAGCGAAGACACCAGAGGAAGAACAGTGTTGGACTTTAAGCTCTTGTGTAAACAGCCGGTCCTGTATTTGACCTCTGACCTCACAGCTGCTGTTGTAAAATCCTCCTTTGAATCTGTTGTTTTCTTTTGTTCCTCGAGGCAGGCACATAAAGATGTGCTGTTCACACAGAGCAGAGAGCTCTAGCTGTGCTTTCCTTCCTGAACCACAGGGGGAGAAAGTGCTCTGCGGTGACGACGTGTGGATTAAAGTCGCTCTATTCTGCCTCAAAGCTGCAGAAACTAAAGCACCACTCTGTCAGTTTAACAAACACATTCAAACACATGCATTAAGATGACAGTAAATATAGGATGGTGATAAACAGATTTAAAACACTGGAAGAGATCTGTTCTTTAGGCGGTGAGAGTGCTGCTAAAATTGAATAATTAAGTTTTGGAATCAAGGAAAAAACAGAATCTGATGAAGTTTCTGTGGAGGTGAATTTGTCTCAATATTATCTGTGTGAAGAAAATAACAGTTTGTGAGTAGATGTGAGATCGGTTGTAAATTTAGCTCCACGTACTTACAGAACATTTGTCTCAAAACTCCACAAAAGTACAAGTGAGAACCACAAATGCCTGAAAAAAATAGAAGCACATGTATCTTGTCGAAAGTTGTAAATGTTAGAAAGATATTCACAAATGTTTTTAATTTATTTGTAATTTAAACAAATGTATTTGACTTTTTTGTGGAACTTGTTTGTGTATTTGCACATCGGTTTTATTTTTGCAAATGTCTTTCAGATTTTATAATTTCTTTTTAATATTTGCGGTAAATGTTTTACATTTGCAGACCTCACATCTACACAGATTATCATTTTGTTCAAACAGATAATACTGAGACAAATTTAGCTCCATGAGGTGAGAGAAACTACCCAGGTCTGACATTAATAACGTAAAACCTGTGATCATTATATGTTTAACCACCCAGCATGATGTTTAATAGTTTTACTTTTGACAAATGAGCTCGTTTGGACTGAATTTCTTTAAGATGTTTTAGTTTTCAGTTACTTCAGCTGTTGATTAAATTCAAAATAACACGTACAACATGTGTCTCCTAAATGTAGAAGAATGTATTTATAATCAGGTTCTGTTTATGAGTAAATGTGTTGCATGTGTCTGCAGCAGTTTCAGGACTGCAGTTGTAGGACCTTTGTTTGTGACAACAGCGCCACCTGCTGAACCAGAGGATCACTAAAGTGCACAGCCTGTGATTTTAAAGGTTTACTCAATTCTAAATACTGTTTTCTGTTTAAGTACTTACAGCTTTAGATTTGATTCAGCTTTATTGTCATTGCACAGAGTAAAAGCACTAACACAATATTTAAAGCATGTTGCAGTTTAATCAGAATAAACAAGTTGTACGAACACACTGATATATGAACATATACATCCATCCATCATCTATACACCGCTTAATCCTCACTAGGGTGGTGGGGGGCTGGAGTCTATCCCAGCTGACTTAGGGTGAAGGCAGGCTCACCTGGACAGGTCGCCAGTCTATCACAGGGCTACACTTAGAGACAGACAACCAAGCACACTCACATTCACACCTACAGACAATTTAGAATCACCAATTAACCTCAACATGTTTTTGGACCTTGTGGGAGGAAGCTGGATGAACATATACATGTGGACACAATATGAAATAGATCATCCAAATGTAAATAGTGGTATGAGCAGAATAACCAGTACGAACAATGTAAACAGTGTTAACACTATGAGATATATACAGTTTATATACAGTCTGAACAGTAGTTCACAATATGAGAGTTTATTCTACATAAATAGTCAAACTAACCACTTAAATTTATTACACACAAACTGCCACTTTCTGTTCAAGTATGTATATATCTACTTAATATGAGTTGGATTTTTGATAATAAAACACGTACATCAGTTTTATTTTAATCTGTTTTATTAATATTTTTGTATACTTTGTATGTTCTACGTGTTATTAGTTGCCTTGTCTTTAGTTTTATTTTCTGCTCTTCTAATGAATCAGTTTAAATGATTCTATAAAACTTGTGTGCATGCTATATAACTTGTTGGTGCTGTTTTTTTTTTTTTGCTTGTTTTTTAAGATGTAATTTTTTTTTTCTAGGTGGTGAATATTATCCAGGTAGAACCCTGACACCTTTAAGTAGGTGGACAGAAAGTAGCGTTTTTGGTGGAACAAACCTTTAAAACTCTAACTTGTTGGTTAGAAAGTACTATTTGAGAGTGGATTAAACCTTTAAAACAAGAATTCATGTAGACTTATTTCTACTGTATTCATCCTTTTCTGATGTTTTAGTCAATCTTTTTTTTATTTTACAAAATGTGCATTTTTTTTATTTAGTACATTTTTTCATATTTAACTTAGATTATTGTTATTCTTCTGTATCTTGTATTTTATCTTTTACCGCTTTGTCCTGTGAATAAACTCTCATCATAAAGTTTTATAAATAAACTTGTTTTCATCCGGGGTGACCGATAGTAACCTCTGTGGAACTCTCGCGATATTTGGAGGCGGAAGTCATGAGCGGAGTCTCGGCTGAAGCGGAGCCGTCGGAGTCGAGCAGCGACAGTTGTGGACGACGGGAGGCGAAACAACAGTTTGTTTTCATGACAAAGCGGTGAACCGGGAGCCGCCGCCGGTTCGTCCGCCAACAAACCGCCGTTTTTAATCCACGCTTCCGGCGGAGCTGTCGGTGTTTTCATGTTGTGCAGCTTCCGGCGGCTCCGTGAACACTCACCGCGGGCGGATCGCATCAGTTCGCCCGGAGGGTCATCGTCCGCGGCGACACCCTGAGCTCCGTGAACCGTTTGGAAAATGACCGGAGAGAAGATCCGCTCGCTGCGGAAGGACCACGGGCCGAGCAAGGACGAGGACCTCCTGGAGCCGGACGAGGAGGCGGCGACCGGGACGTTCACGGCGGCCAAACCGAGCAACAAGAGCCGGGCGAGTAAGATCTTCAGCAACCACAAGTTGATCAAGTCTTCGTCCGCGCAGCAGCAGAACCAGCAGGTCAACGCCAACTCGGTGCCCGCCGCCGAGCTCATCGACGACAACAACAAGAACCCCGTCCTCCGGACCGGACACGACTTCCCGGTGCACGAGTGCGTGTTTAAAGGAGACGTCCGCCGCCTGTCGTCGCTCATCCGGACGCAGAACATCGCGCAGAAAGATGTCCACGGTGAGTCGGTCCCGTCGGAACCCACAGCACCGGGATGGGCCGGTCTCAGGGTCCGGAGCAGCTCCGTTTCACGGCTACAGGCCGCCGGTCTCCGGTGGAGGAAGGCGAGGCTTCTCATGCTGAGGCCTGATCCACCGGATCACCGGGTCCAGATCTGCTGCACCACAAATCCGTCAGATATCCGCATTAATGCAACTTTATCTGCAAAAGGAAAACTCCATGAATCATGTAGAGGAGGTTATTCTAACCAGAACCAGCCGAACCAGCTGGTTCTGTATCTGCAGTACCTTTATCTAATGACCAGAGTTCTACCTTCAGACTGTGAATATTCCAGAGTTCCAGGTCCTTGCAGTCCTTAGAGGAGGGTCCAGATTTCTCACTTTATTGGACTTTTTCCATCATTTCTGAGCTTCAGAACTTCATCAGTACAGCAGATAGACACATGACATTTAGGAGGAAGAACACATCTGAGTTCTGGTAGAAACTGACACCAGATCAGTTCTACATCCACAACAAGAAAAATGCAGCAGTTTAATGTCTGTGACAAAGTGTATTCTGGGTAAACCTTAAGGCTGGTTCTGAGTCCTCATCTGACCAGGACCACCACAGTGGATGCATAGTCCTGACAGTGACGCACGGAGGTGGCAGTATCATAGTATGGAGGAAACTTTAAAAAGTGCATTCTGGGTAAACTTTCCAGGCTTATATCAGCATATGTGATGGTGGTTGGTCAGAACAAGTTCTAGACAATGGAAGGACCATTTTACCTCCAGAACACACCAGGACCATCTATAGACAGGATTCACGATAAACTATTTTCCAGTATGTTCTCTTTTCTATGACTCTATGTCATAGACATTAAACTGCTGCAGTCTGACTGTTCACTCTATGATACATCCCATAATACTGATGCAACCGACTGCTTACAGAAGACATGAACACAAACCAGATCCAGTGTTCAGACTGTGACACCTGGATGGATGTAGACCTGATCTGGTGTCAGTTTCTACCAGAACTCAGATGTGTTCTTCCTCCTAAATGTCATGTGTCTATCTGCTGTATTGATGAAGTTCTGAGGCTCAGAAATGATGGAAAAAGTCCCGCGATCGGTTTCTAATTGATCACCAAACGCTTCCTCGATTAGTCATCTTGAACAAACACTGGATCGGCCTGTGGTTGATGTATTAAGGCGCCGTGTGAAGCTTTGGGAGTCCCAGACTGACTGACAGGTTAAATTCAGATAACAACATGCTCCTCCTCAGCTGACGGTTCTGTTCCGGTTCACAAGCTGAGACAAAAGCTGGAATGTGGTTTGTCTTAGAAGCGCTGACGTAGTTGAGTGCAGCCGGTGTCGGTCCTGGCGTCGGCCTCCGGTGCTGTTGTGGAACTTGATCCTTTATTTTTTTAAAGGTTTTACACGCCTTGTTGTTGTTGGTTACTGTTGCTATAGCTGAGCTGACAGATCTCTGAAATCAGTTTGTTGTCGTCTGCTTTGACTCAGAAACTCCAGCACGACAAGAACAAAGAAACAGAGCTTCATTATTTGTGCTGCATTCATCTCTTTGGCCGAAATTATCCTCGATAGCAGAAATAATGTGCAGGTAAAGGCTCTAACAGCACTGATAAATAACCTGCTGTAGCACCAGGAAACAGCTCCAGCTAACTGTTATTGCTATGACCTAATATCCTATTTATGATGGATGATAATCTAACTTGCTTGTTGTTTACCTGAAGAAGACTTCAATTACTTTTTCAGTGAAAAGTAGAAAAAAAAATCTCATTTTAGAGTCTGAAAAACCTTATATTTTCCCCTCAGTTGTGCTTTATGAATAATTTAGAACAATTATTTGATGCCAGAATTAAAGAGTGGCTAATTGGCAGAGCTTATTATCTCATTTTTTTAAAACCTGTTTAGCTACTTGACTGATTTAGAACTATTACCTGTGCTGCAGATATGGGCTCAGAGGACATTGTGTTAAGGAAGTTGTGAATTGTCTTAATTACCCATAACAGTAAAGTTTTCCACTTAAACTGTTATATTCTACAAATTAACTTTCATTAACCTCCATTAAACGAGCAGCAACATGTGAACTATGCTCAACTTCAAACCTGAGCAGAAACAGTCTGCATGGCTGCTGGGATCAGAACATCCCTGTGAATCCAGAACACCTCTGGTTCTGTACCACTGCTCCGTCTCTGCAGGTGAGCTCAGTGTCCAGTGGGACTTCCAGCTGACTCCCAGCTCATGTTTCCACCAGCAGCCTTCTTACTACGGATGCTGCCTCACTTCCACTGCAGGAGCCTGAAGCAGCTGATCAGGCAGTTTGGCTTCTGCTTCGGGCGTTCTGCGCTGCTGAGGAGGCGCATTTCAGATCTGAGCTTCACCTGACAGACGTGTTACGTTACCTGCAGCCCTGCTGCTGTTTGTCCTGCGACTGGTAGCAAACCGTGGCGCTAACAGGAGCCGAACCACAGAGTCGAATTAATGTGTCAGCTTACAGTCGGAGTTTTCAATGTCATGGTGGTGGTTCTGATTTAG